GTGTGGGAGCTGGTTGTACATGGACGACGCCGTGGCCCGCGATCGCAATAGAAAGTCCATTTCTGGCTTGTAAGACCTGAGTAGCGAGAAAACAGGAAGAATGGCTGATACAACCAGCGTTATAAAAAAAGCTAAACCTAAAAATATAATAACTGAGATCAGCGGCTAATAGACATAAAAGAAAAAGAGAAAATGTAGGGGTGGAATGGAGCTGGATAATTTATAACAGCAGATAGAGCTAGCAAATAGAGCTCCTTTACAAAAAAGGATAAAGAAAATGAAAACGATCATGATGTATGCAATACACATTGACTAAAAACTGTATGGGGACCATTTTCATTAATTCCATTCACTCGCTTTGAAATAAAGAGAGTGACATATAGAGGTCACTCCACATCTAACGGTTATTATTAATACCTCTCCTACATATAGGCTTTGACTAATGTTGCTCCCACATATAAATACAGTACATTATCACCACCAATATTTGCCCACATACAACATACATTGAATCGCATTTCTTGTCTGAGCGATTTGCATTACACTATTCAGACAATTTCTCATTTTTCTTTTGAATTTTTCTTTCCTCTTTTCTTTATCTACAAGAACAAAAACATGAGCTACGGCAAGCCATCGTGGGCTAAAGAGGAGCCCAACCCTAGTAGTGTTTCCAGTGAAGTGGTAGCGTATCTGCAGGAAAGCGGACAATACGATCAGAAGATCGCTCATAAGCTCACTGGTGATCTGGGTGATGAGACAAGTAATGGCAGCAAGCCAGGAGCATCTGAAGCAAGCTCTGGTAAGCTAAAACCGTTTGAGTCGGTAAGCTCTGGTAAGCCAGGAGGCGCATATGAACCAATTAACCCTGGTAAACCAGGAGGTGGCTCATATGGATCCCACTTGGACAAGCTAGGCATGTATGAATCAGGCTCTGGTAAACTAGGAACAAACAGACCAGCGAGCCCCGGTAGGCTGCCAATTTCTCTCTCAGCTGTTTTCACTGCCTATGACGGGTATGCAGGTAAACCTGGAGCAGAAACAACAGTGCCACTTGGAGGCAAGGTCGAGTCTAATGCAGTGGGTGGGCACCCAGCAATGTACACCAAAGTTGTTACCAGGGCAGGAAAGAGCCAACGGATTCCGCGTCCCGGAGACACAGTCAGCATACTGTTCACAGCGAGGGTGGAGAAGACAGGCATCGAGTTTGACACCAATGTCAGGAATCCCAGCAACCGCAAGGCATCGCCACCTCTTGTGTTCCAGGTTGGCACGGGTCGTGTTATTCGTGGACTCGACCGGGCGCTGATGACTATGGTCAGAGGCGAAAGAGCCACACTGACCATCCAGCCCGAATGGGCCTATGGCCACCAGGGCATCGATGCTGCTGGAATCCCTCCAAACGCCGTGCTAATATTCGATGTGGAGCTTGTTGCTCTTGAGCGCGCCTCCTAGTCCCACCATCACCACCACTGATCTTGATCCTTAGCCTAGTGCAACAGTATCTGCGATTTCCCCTTTTTATTTCTCTTCTGTTTCATGTCTGCATCTTATTTTTTTTCGTTAGCCTCGTGTTTCCACTTTGAAAAAGCAAAGGCAAAAGCACAGCATATTCCACAGAATGAGTCAAATTGAGCCGAAATGGACGGTGGAGGAGCTTGGCGGTGACGGCGTCAGCAAGAAGGACCTTGTAGCATATCTGCAGGAAACCGGTGCAAACGACTTTCTGGTTGCGCACAAGCTCAACGGCAAGCTGACCAGCGTAGTGAAGACAGCAAAGAAACCAGCGCTTATCGAGGCATACAAGCAGCTGTTTGAGACCAAGCAGTTCAGAACGAGCGACGAGATCCCAGCATCCGAGGTCAAGAAGGAGAAAGCGGCAGATCCAGAGGAAGAAATCAAGCAAGAGGGCGCCGATTCCAGCGGTAAGGCTGCGCTGGAAAAGGCGGATGAGCCAAAGTACACGAAGAAGGTCACCAAGAAGGGCTCAGGCAGTCGGCCGCCTGCAAAGGGTGACCGCGTAAGCGTCTTTTACACGGGAAGACTGGAGAGCGGCAAAGAGTTCGATTCCAATGTCAAGGCCAAAGGCCGCAAGGCGCCAACTCCACTTGTATTCAAGGTCGGAACCGGTCGCGTCATCCGCGGCTGGGACGAAGCGCTGATGACGATGGTCAAGGGCGAGAAGGCCACGCTGACCATCCAGCCCGAGTGGGCCTATGGCCAGCGCGGGGTGGAGACCGCCAGTATCCCGCCAAACTCTACGCTTATATTCGATGTGGAGCTTGTCGACATTGAGTAGCGGGTCTTCTTTTTGGTTCTATTTTGGTCTTGCTTGTATGCGTGGATATGCTGACGGCAGCAAAGCAAAAAGTGGGCTCACTCTTTCTTTAACCGTGCTAGCGATGGGGATAAGGATGACAGCAAGATCCCACTTTTGATCTTTTGTTCCTTTCTTTATCTTTGATCCCAACTCCTTTTTTCCTCTTATTTTCAATTTTTTTCTGTTTACCCGTGTTTCTTTCACTAGACTGAATGCGTTCTCTCTATTTCTTACCAGCCGGAGCGGCTCTGCGGTTCATGTCTTCCGGCAGCATGGGCAGCGGTCTTTGCAGCAGGATGATGGCGCAGCGTGGCTCTCCACTTCACTCTGCGCTTCTACGGCATCTTAGCATAAGCAGTCTTGCACGGGATTCGTTGACATACAAAAAGGCTTCGATTGCGTGGTCGCCGCGTGTTCCAGCATTGATCGGCCGCACCAACTTCTTGGCGGCCTCCGAAGTTGTGTCTACTGCGAGACGAAACAGCAAGTATGCCATTCCTTTGCTGACGTTCCGCAGACACGCATCATCTGCGTCGACGGCAGCAGCAGCAGCAGCAGCAACAAAGGAGAATCCGCAGAGACGCACTGTTGACGCACCGATCGTCGGATACTGGTCGCTTTTCTGTGCCTCAATGGTGTTTGGAATCGTGGTCTGGGGCGGACTGACACGGCTGACAGAGTCGGGGCTCTCGATAGTTGAGTGGGCTCCCATTACAGGTGCAAAACTGCCTACCAGCGATGCCCAGTGGGAGTCCGAGTTTGAAAAATACAAGCAGTTTCCCGAGTACCAGAAGGTGCACATCGGGATCACATTGGACGACTTTAAGCGCATCTACTTTATGGAATGGTTCCACCGCAACATTGGCCGGCTGTTTGGTGTAGTGTACTTGGTACCTATGACGTATTTCTTATCCAAGGGCCTGGTTACTCGGGCAGGGAAGGCCAAGCTTACGGGGCTCGGTCTTTTGCTGCTTGGGCAGGGCGCCATGGGCTGGTACATGGTTTCGTCGGGGCTGGAGAAGGAGCTTGCAGAACGTCCTGACGCCGTTCCTCGTGTCAGTCAGTATCGCTTGGCTTCGCATCTGTCTCTGGCATACCTCCTGTACGCGGGTCTTTCTCTTTATGGATGGAACGTTATCCGCGCCAACCGTCTGGTCAGAAACAAAATTGCAAACCCGGACTCGCTGCGTACCATGCTGGTGAAGCCAAGCATCGTTTCTTTCCGTCGCAAAATAGTTGCTGCCACACTGCTTGTTGGCACAACCTGTCTCTCGGGCGCACTGGTTGCTGGTCTGGATGCCGGTCTCATCTACAACGAGTTTCCGACCATGGGCCATGGCATCACTCCGCCGCTTTCAGAGATCTGGAGCTCTTTCTACGCACGCGGGGATCCGTCTGCCATGTGGCGCAACCTTACAGAGAACCCGTCCACGGTGCAACTTGAACACCGTGCCCTGGCAATGACCACGCTTTTGGTTGTATCTGCCTTGTGGTTACATGGTCGCAGACTCCCTCTTCCGCGCTCGGCTCGCTTTGCTCTGCATCTAATGAACACTCTTGCTTGGCTACAAGTTGTTTTGGGGATCTCTACACTTGTTGAATTTGTTCCTATCGCAAATGCCTCGGCCCACCAGGCAAATTCTGTGCTTCTCCTGGCCTCGGCGCTTCGTCTTTTCCACTCCCTGCGTCCACTGCCTCGTATTCCCTTGTAGCGCTGTAGCAGAAATTCTTCTATTTTATTTTTCTTATTTTATTGCCTTCACATGGCACAAAACGTAATAGGATTTCGGTTGTTAAATAAGGATACTATGACGTGCGGATGAATAAATTAGTTGGCAATTTCTTTGATGATATTGCATTAAGCATTATTAAACATCCGCCATATATAAATCCTGTCCCTGGCTTGCTAATAAATAATTTTTATTCTCTGTGCTCAATTTTTTATACATAAAATGTCCATAACCTATTTTGTAGATATAAGCTTTATTGATAAGCAAAGTGGAAAGAAAAAACATTCAACCTGTTATGCTATGGGGTCTAACGAACAAGAGGTGAAAAAAAAACTTGGGAATATGTAAGACAACAGACAATGAGACGAAATGGTAATTGTAGTATAGAAGAAGCAGAAGGTATTCTAAGAGGCATAGAGCTACAAATAACAGTGAAAAGTGTATGAAAAAAATTAAATCCTGCGGTGGTTAGATACAAGACCTGGACCAGATCTTTTGCAATCTAGCTATTCCACGCCCTCTGGGTAATAGGACGATAGGTTGGATAATAAATCTTATGCAGAGCAATTGCTAGTTTTTTCCTCCAATAAATTCATTCTATCTCTAACAATTTTTCTAAATTAAGGAATGTTATCTCAATGTCCATACGCATATGTATTGCACCAGAGAGCGGTATACAATAGCCTATGGATTGAGCAGCCATTTCGATATTCATGTATACTTAATGGAATCATAGCAATAGCAGACCATGGCCACTGTGTCTGTACAGAAGCGCTGTCTGCAGCTGGTGGAGAAAGCAGTTTATATTTGAAGTCACCTTAGCTTATTTGTTAAAAGTCATTGCATAGAGCGCTCTTCCAATATAATAATGAATGGCAACAAGTTCCTATATATTGTTAAAATGCTGACAAACAAACTGCCTTATTGGGTCACTTTGGATTCAAAACGGCTTCAGTTGTGTGGCCGAGTGGTCTATGGCGCCGGACTTAAGATCCGTTCCTCGAAAGGGGGTCGTGGGTTCGAATCCCACCGCAACTATCTGCTTTTTATGCTTTATTTCTTTGTGGAGTCTTTTTGCAACCAGCATATGAAGACTGTGCGTGGGCTGGCGTGCAACATTTCAAATAATTTTTATCTGTGCACTCCATTACTTTTTGATGATAAAATTATACTATTTTTTTGGAAACATGCTAGCGTAGCTGTAAACAGCCGCAGCTAATTGAATAGGCTAAGATCATTGTCAACAAACCATATGCATTAAATGCTTGGCATCTGACTGTCTTTTACGTTTCGCTTTTCTTCTTTGCAAAGAAGCTGCTTTTTCATCTATTTACTATTACTTTTATTTGATCTGAGCAAAACAACTTCAAAAATACCAAAGACGCTCTGGGAACAAAGAGAAAGATTGTGTCTTTTAGAAAAACAGACAGCAACCCTAAAGGCTCGGACGACTACCATCGCATTGATTTGGGCTTGAGAGTTGTTGATGAGGCATTTTCAAATATTAGCCCCACAAGCGCGAGCAAGCCGGACTATACAGACATGCTGGCGGTTATTGAGGTTTAAATCAATATTGGAAAGCAGCAGAACGCGCGTATCAGCAGCTATTCGAATATTCGCAAAATATCAATGTCATTATTGTAGTCTTACAGTTTTTCTTTTTAATAAATTTAATACTCTACATTTTGACGAAAACTTTTATCAAAACATAGAATATTGGCGCTTTTATAGCTGCCGACCATTCTATTTCCAGAGAATACGACTATTTGTATCACATCCTAATATTGATTGTATTTATCCAAGAGTACTCAAAATGTTAACATTTCCTTACTTTGAAAATATAACAATTACATCAAATACTATTATTGATCATATTATAATAAGCATCAGATTTTAGCATCAACTGCTCAATTAAAAAATGCTGTCTATTCTAGTACCAGCCAAGGATTTTCCACCACAAAAGACCCACAGACAAAACTGTTCCAAGCATTATTGCCGATATCACCAGACCGTAAAAGAACCAGCGCGGCTGGGATATGTAGCCCTGGGACGCGTATATTGCAACAGATCCAGTGGAAAAAGGTGTCAGCACGCCAGACATTGAGCTGAATATCGCAACAAGGATCGTCAGTAGCCGTGGCGGACATCCCAACACGTGTCCTGCAGCAAAGAACGGGCCCGCAAAAGCAACGACATGGCTGGATATCGAGGAAAACAGATACATGGACAAAAAGTAAACAAGCGACAAGGAGAGCGTGCCAACTAGCGGCGAGGTGTGCTGTAGGGATCTAGACAAGGAGTTTCCAATCCATTCTGTGACGCCTAGCGCTGTGAGCTGCTCGGCAAGAACAATAAACGACGCAAGCCAAAAGAACGTGTCCCATGCCTTGTGGTTTTTGATAATATCGTCCCATGTCAGGATGTTTACCAAAACCAGCACAACAATAGCCATATACGCAACGACAGCAGAGTCAATTCCAAAATACGGCGTGCCTATCCATAGGACCAGACAGCCAAGTAGAGTGGCGCATAGCTTAAGCTCGTTTGCTGACACCTGTCCAAGCTCACGGTGCTGCTGGAGAATATCGACGGATAGCATGCCAAAGTCGACTTTTGGACGCATGATAATGTGCATCACAGGCGGAAGCAGGAAAATCAGAAAAAACACAGGCACACATGCCCCAAGGACCCATTGCGAGAACCCAAAGTCAATACCGAATATGCTGGCCGCCTTCGTAGCAACAATTGGGTTGCCAGCCATGCCTGTGACAAATAGTGACGACGACAGCAGATTTGCGGCAGCAGCAACAAACGAAAAGAATCCTCCAACAGGGTTTTCGCCCATTTGTGGTTCAACCCCAAGAGATGCGATTATCGACTCCACAATAGGATAGATGATCCCGCCACCACGAGCCGTATTTGACGGAATAAATGGTGCAAGAGTGAGCTCTGCCAAGCATATGGCATACCCAATGCCAATGGTGGACCGTCCCATTTTCTTGACAAGAATAAGGGACACTCGCCGACCAAACCCGGTCTTCTCCACTGCTTTACCAATATGAAATGCCGTGAATACAAGCCACGAAACCTTGTTTGCAAATCCAGACACCGCCACATCAAAGCTGCCGCCGATGGGGTCACACTTGTACTCGTGCCAGTGCCCCGACTTGCCCTGGTACATGGTATTGCATCTGTCGCACTCTATCCGATGGCCGTCCGCTGTTGTGCACATGAAGCTTTGTGTGAGTGTCAGCGTAAGCAGTGCTACAGCCAGAACAACTGACATGCTGTAGTCTGCAGTTAGCAGCCCCATGATTACGCCCGCAAAAACCCCCAGCAGCCGCATACTCGTTGACGTCAATCCTGTGGGCTCTGGAAGATGTGCTACTACGAATGCCAGAATAATGGCTGGCAGTGCGCTGACGATCCGCGATTCTTTGGCCATCTGGATCCAGGCCTTCCAGCTTCCTACAGAACCAGACGCATGTTGCTCCATCGTCCGTTGAGACACAAGATAAAGATAGGATTTAGAAAGCCTTGAATAATAGAACCATGTGTGAATTCAAGGACAGCAATATTAGAAGAGAGAAATGAGAAAGAAGAAGGAAAGAGAGCTCCAGTCAACAAAAAAAGGACAAAACGGCTGGATTTGGGCTTGCTTATTCCCCCCTTAAAGTCACAGGCATATAACAATCTAGAGATAAATGGACAATAGCAAAGCTGCTTAAATTTATTGCATGCATTGTGTGGCTGCCGTGCCTGTCCATTGTCTGTCCAGGCTTTTTTGGGCTTGTTCTCATGGATGAGCAAAGCACTCCCCTGTTTTCGCTTCTAGACACCCTAAAACTTACGCCAAATGGTTGCTGTGTTTCCGCTGCCGATGCTGCTGCGTCTTCTGCTCTGCAGGCCGCTGAATCTAGTTATTGCATTGGAAGAATATTCCTCCGGCAAGGCATTCTGCGGATGATCAAGGGTGCTGTACTCGACTATATGCTCACTTGTTTCTCCTTCGCCAGAATTGGGGTGCAAAAGAGAGGACCACTCGTTTGGAAGACCGCCTCCAATTCCGTTTCTATCGCCGCTCATTACGTTCTATGTATATAATGTTGAAAATATTAGTCTAATAGATGCTAAATAATGAAAAAGGAAGAGAAAGATAGCAGGCTAGAAGGAAAAAAAGGATACATACAGTCTTGGTTGCCTTGACTTTAGGTCTTTATTGAAATTTCTTCTTTCAGTCTTGTGTGTAACGGATAAAAGTGGAATCTCTGTCCAACCACCTATCATCATATGAAAACGAATCACGACAACCTTTTCGCACATGCCTCATTCAAGAGACCTCATGGACACTTTTGGAGCAAGCACGTACCATCTGTACCTTACTGATGATCCTTTTTTCTCACACATCCATTAGTCCCTCAGCCAGAGGGTGAAAAAATCCCAAATGCCGAGGCCATGTGGCCACCTAACTTTTCACCGATGAGGCCCCCTCCTTCCCAAAAAAGGTCATCCTAGTCCTTATCTTTGCACTGGCATCTTGCAGCTCCCACCAAGACACTTACTTGTCCAGCAGATATGATTGTCCAGGTCACTTGCCAGAGCCCGGTGGATTCCAGCAGCAATCTCTCCGTTTTTACTTTTTTTATATCTAATTATGAGAAGTTGGCTGTCTTTTTTTTTTGACAAAACTAAACTCCGTCAGATACGAACGTAATTGTCAAAGAGTTAAAAAGAATCGATCGTACGCATGCTTGGCCTATGCATGTGACACCAACCCAAAACCAGCAACAAAGTTTACAACATGCAACGTGAAAAAAGATCCAATAGAGAAGATGTGGGCCTCAGCTAGGATCAATAAGTAAATATATCGTACACGCTCTAACCTTTGCAACGGCTACGGAAAATAATATCTGCATTCTCTTTCAACACTATTTTTTTCTTAAATGTCTGTTGTCTCTAAAAAAGCTGTCACCGCACGCTTGGCAGGCCAGAAAGAACGCCAGGTGTTTAAGCATGCGCTGGCAAAGCCCTACACAATAGTCTGGCCTTCAGCCAAACAAAAAACACAAGAAGAGATAGTCGATCGGCTGTGCAAGGCATTGCAGCCAGTAGGTGTTTATTTTTCTGCAGCAAGACATGCGTCCAAGCAGATCCGTCGATTGAAACGTCGCAAGCAGCGCAAGAGAATAGGAAAGAAAAAGAGCGGTGCCACCAAAGATTCAGATCCCGTTGATTCCAAGGCAACGAGTAGCGTCCCTTGTATTGAGGACAAAATAAAAGATAATGCCGTTGCCATGCAAGGTCTGGATATGCTTAAATTTCTGGTCTTGGGAATAAACAGCACAACGCGTGCACTCGAAAAGCAAGCACGGCGAGAAACCGCCACTGGTAACGCTGGGAGTGGCGATGTGAGCAGCATTGCGCTGGTGGTTGCTTGCAAGTCAGACATTGAATCACAAGTAGTTGCACACTTGCCGGCATTGGCACATGCTGCTCGTATATCATTTACTGGCGTCTCTGGCTCGGAAACTACGGATGCTAGTACCGAAAAGATAAACAAGGGTGCAACTGAAACAAATCGACCTTATCATCTCAGGCTTGTTGGTGTCGCTAAGGGCGCGGAGAAGCAGCTGGCTGCCGCGACATATCAGCAGCGTCTATCAGTGATTGGAATTCGCCCAGGAATCCCAGAGCTGGACGAAATTATTCGATATGCGCAGGAAAACGTCTCTTCTCCTTCGATTCCATGGATTGGACCAAACAAGAACAAGCACCCATCTCAAGGCAGTGCCAATGTCACAGATACCAATGATCCTGTTCTGCATCCAATGGCTGTATACGAGCTACACACCACAGCGCCTGTCAAAACAAGGAAGGAATTGAAAAATAGAAAGTGAATAAAAAGGCATAGGCAATTTATTACAGTAACATGTATAGGGGTTTTGCAAGCTGTAAAAGGCTTCAGCTCCACTGATGAAGGCTTAAACGTAGCGAAGAAAGTTGTCGCATGTCTTCGCTGCTCATATTTGATGCACTGC